TCTGTGAGGGGTTTAGCGAATCGACTCGCGATGAGCGGCTTAGGTTTCATGTCCGGAGTTATGGATTATTGTAATCCTGGTGGTGAAGATTTACCCGAAATTATCTCGCCAAGTTAGCTGTGTTGAACTGATAGCGGAGGAAGGGAGGGCGATACTTCATGTCGGGGAGACTGTGGGGGTTCCTTTGCCTGTGGGAACTGTAATGGTTAACAGCGTCCCAGCCTTTCAAGCCTTTATTCCTGTACATTTTTCTCCCGTGAATGTTTAATCCACGCATCTGGGCCGTACTGCGTCATAGTGCCATGGAGATTCTACTTCAAATGGCGGCTTCAATTTTACAGCTCTGTCGGACAAAGCTAAAGCTCCCCTTCTGCTTCGTGGTAGTCCCTTATATCCACCCGTTACCAATTCAAACACTTTGTTACTTACTCTACAATTCATTACCGCAACAAAATGCTTCTAAAAACTCAATTTTTGTCTTGTATTTTGCATTCTGTCCGTCATTTTTACTCCGTACGTCATTGGGTGTGAAATATATCATGTTTTTTTTCTATTACTTTGTGTCACATATGTATTATCATCTTTATTTTCTACATTTTGGATTCTTTTTGCTAATTTTCCTCACATTATGTGTAAGTAGCAGCGTTGAAATAAGGTTTAGAGTGCACTACCAGTTTGTGTTGTACTATATTATACTGTGTGAGCAATATAAAAAAATGGCGGCTCCTGTACATTTCTGGCCGCCCGTCTCAGCTAATTGCCGCGCCAATTGTGGAACGATCAATACGTCATCCTGTCCTGATCCGTCTCGACCAGACCTGACGCGACTGTCCGCATGGACAGATCGAAACTCATTATGCAGTTTACCGCCGATGTCGGCAAGCGAAATCATAATAATAATTAATAACCTTTATTGTACATTCATGCCCTATTGGGCTAGGTACAGGTGAACACATGAAAAGGTATATACATGTTTGTAGTACAAACAGCTCTTTTTGATTGAATAAACCATTCTCTCTCTCTCTCATTCTCTCTCTCTCTCTCTCTCACTCACTCTAATACAGGCTTCGGCTTCTTCTCGTTTCTTTGTGATGTTAAAGATATAATTTGAGGTGGGTTTGTTTAATACAGGATGAGCAATATTATTTTAGTCAGGTATTGGAGGTATGGAAACGTACTTGTAATATATCTAAAAAGAGCTATCATCACTATACATACATATATACCACAATCACCGACAAAATAGACTTCATCTTCTACTTTGTTTTAGCTACAAAATTGGCCAATTCTTTGCTCGTAGCTGGAGGTAAGACGGAGACTAATGGGGGTTCGCCATGCGTGGATGAGGTAAAGAGAACATCCGCAGCCATGTGTTGATGTAATATCCAGGCCCCTGCCGACCGTGTCTGTGTCTGTGTAACACTGCCGGCCACGCGAACGGGAAATATTGAGTTTCTAATCAACCGTGTGTGATGGAAATACAAGCTGATTCTGACGGCAACACAAAACATCCCATTTCCGTAACGGATCTCTGAACGGAATTATTCCCAGCCTCTGTTTATATTCATTATGTTCGGGTAACAATAATCTCCAAGCAGATCTTTTGGTGGCTTAAAAGACAGTATCAAATTGGCCAGGCAGTACACAGTAGTTCTTTCTGTATTAATTGCCTGTTCTTATACCAAATGTTCTTCTGTACCTGCAATTAGCCCTCGGGCATGAATTTGCAATAAAACAAAAATCCAATTGCCAAGCTGTTACCGTTTGCCACTCAAAGTTTGGCTGGCGTAAAACACCAAAAAATATGACGAAGCCTTAATTAGCCTCTGCCTGAAGAATATTGTATCAAACCCACAAATTAAAGAAAAAGTGGGATCTTTTGTCTTGCTCTGTCTTCAAAAAAGAAGTCAAACACAGTAGTACGTAGTTATTTGTGTATTGATTGTCTGTTCTTATACCAAATGTTTCCTCTGTACTTGCAATTAGCCCCCGGGCATGAATTTGCAATAAAACTATTATTAGGCCATAAGCCCATACTTCACACACTGTGCCTCTACCTTACTGTCTTTATGTTACCACAGACTTGATTATTTATCACATTTATTTAGTGCGTATTTTTATTCTATTCGAAAAACACTGTTCTTTTACTTACATTACCTCTATTATACATATTTATAATCACGATCGTGTCTCCGTGTTTATGTCATCTTTGTCAGTGGCGCCGCTAATACATAAGCTATAAGCTTGAACACGACAACATGGTGCATATACATGCCCGTAGCCAGGATTTTGAATGGGGGGTCTTCCCACTGCTTGAGGGGACCGCGAGCGCCGAAGGCGCGAGGTTCCTAGGGATCCTAGGGAGTCCGGGGCCATGCTCCACCGAAAAAAATTGAAAAACGAACCTTCTAAAATGGCATTTCGTGCGTTTTTGAGAGGATTTCCAAGAAAAATTAGAGATCTATTCAATGACAAAGGGAGCAGTTTTTCTACGATTCCAGTCCATCTTTTCAAAAAAAATCTTGGACCTTTACATAAAAAGTGGACCAAAAAGTGGACCTTTGAGGCTAGAGGGGGGGTTCTTCCAACCCCCCTGGCTACGGGCATGATATATTTTGTCTTGTTTCTCTCAATAAAAAACCTGGCTAGGCCGACTGAGGTGAAGGAAGGCTTTATAATCACGATTCTGTCTTTATCTTTATTAATGGTGCAGCTAACACACAAGCTATAAGCCTGAACACGGCACCATGGTGTAGTCTCCACCAGACTCCTTTTGCAGGCTGGATAAATAGTAGAAATATAAATGGGCCTAAAAACGGGATATAATTGGCCAGAAAAGGTGGCCGGCCAGAGAAGCTCCGTGCAGGCAAACTGGAACTTGTCTGATCTGGCCTGCTACCTTCTCTGGCCAATTATATCCCCTTTTTAGGCCCATTTCTACTATATATCCAGCCTGCAAAAGAAGTCTGGTGGAGACTACTCCATGGTGTATGTACAGTAGTTTCTCTTGTTTCTCGCAATAAAAAAAACTAAGCCGCCTGAGGTGAAAGAAGTAGACTTCAGCACATCATGTATGTATGCAGCACTCCGGGCTCCCCTGGCTAATTGCAGTCCTATCGCAGTGCCTGAGAAGCGCCTTGTTGACAGCGATCCCTGCCAAATGACGACACATCTTCGCATGAATACATGAAATCCACTTGTGTTCCTGACAGCTCGAGCTCTCTTTGAAAACCATTTGCTGTGACAACCTGTGAGGCTCACTAACGTATGCGTGACATTTTTTTAAGGTTTTACACACAACAAAGACCTCATTGCGATTTCTTCTTCAAAAACACGTAGATTGCGAACCGGCTGCTGTAACGACCTATGAGACGTTCTTTCGTATGCGTAATTTTTCATGTTTAAGAGAAGACCTAATTGCGATTTCTTCTTCAAAAACACGTAGACTGCAGATTTAAGCGTCTTTTCAGTAGTTGCTCCCTATTTGAGAACCGGTTACTTCGTAATACGTATGCGTTTCAAATTTTTAACATTTTATATTTAACAAAAGGCCTAATTGCTATTTCTTCTTCAAAAACATGCAGACTACAGATTTAAGCATCTTTTCAGTAGTTACTCCCTCTTTAAGAACCGGTTGCTGTGATAACCTATGAGACGTAAACGTTATACATGTATGTTTAACAGACTGAAACCTAATTGCGATGTATTCTTCAAAATCACGTAGACTGCAGATTTAAGCGTCTTTTCAGTAGTTACTCCCTATTTGAGAACAGGTGGTTGTGACAACCTATGATACGTATGTGTTGCAAATTTTTAACGTTTTATGATTAACATAAGACCTAATTGCTATTTCTTCTTCAAAAACACGTAGACTGCAGATTTAAGTGTCTTTTCAGTAGTAGCTCCACGTCTCGGGTGGCGGTTTTGGTTCGGTGGGGAGGATTTCTTTTTGGTATGCCGCATTTCTCCGTACGGAGCTGTGAACATCGCTGCAGTGTGTTCAGAATACACAAACTCAGCTGGCAGGGAGCTGGCTGAGATACATCACCAGCGTCAGCGCCATCCAGACGATCTCAATTGATGTCGCAACAGTGTATAAGTCCTGTAGGGTGTCGGCATTCATCTGTTTCTAACGGTTCCCAGACCGGCTTTGGCCGCTCGCTTTCGAATCTGTAATAGCGCACTGCGAGCGATATCGTTTCTATCACGACCAATGGGAAACAAATCTCGCCGTTTCGACATCGGGGCCTGATTAAATCCAGCGCGCGTATCGGATAATTTCCTGGAATTCTTTCTATGGCATCGTTTCTATTTGCACGGAGAACATCAAAAGGAAAAAAAAGGCGCCATCTTCTTCCATCCATCGCTTTATAATACAGGCCCGATGGAAGCGGTTTATTGGGTTTTGGTGCAGCGGGAGGGATGTGTAGGGGCTGGGAAGCGGCAGGAGGTAGCGGTAATTTCGGCTATCAATCCTGCGGACCTAATGGCAGGTAGGACGTGCGCGGGAACACCTGTCGCGCCGCCTGTTGCAGCAGGCAGCGGCGTTACGTCTACGGGCAGGTGTCGGGAACAGGAGGATCCGCTGCCTCAGGCTTGGCGGTATATTATAATTATAGAGTAGAGGGCCGGGAAGAGAGAGCGGTCCTGCTTTCATAAAAGCATCGCCATCACAAGGGCCAAGTGCCCAGGGTTTCGGCTGGGGATAAATCAAGCATGGTACAGGAAAAAGACATGTATAAATATATATCTGTGGCTAGCCTCAATAGCATGCCAAAAACTGGGGGTTTGGGGGTCTTTAGGGTCTTTGGGAGCTTTTCTGTGCTGTTTTCTGATTGCATATAGACAACATAGCCGGCCTGACCTGGGCTTAACAGCCGAAGACCACCAAACCCCCAGTTCTATAAGCCTGCTACGGAGGCTAAGCTGTGGCGTAGTACAAAATAAATGTTGCAAACTGTTAGTAAATGTGGCGAGATGAATGTTGCAGTTGCACGTACCTTGAATCTGCGGTCCCCCACCGGTCCGCGCGCGTACGGCACCCCGAGGTACACCTGCACCTGTTTCCCGCCGGCCGCAGCGGTGACGTTCCCGCGCACCTGGCCGTACGCCGTGTCCCTGACGACGTGCGCTGCGCGGCACGGCCCGGTCAGCAGCGTCAGCTGGACCGCCGTCACCAAGCACAGCCACCACAACAGCGTCTCCATGTCGCCGGTTAGATCCTAGGCGTGGGCTGGTGCTGGTGGTGCGCGCTCTACGTACTTCCCATCATGTCTCCCCACGGCGGTAGTAGATCGTGCGTGCAGCATCCTCAGCTAGCTCAGCGATTGCCAGCGAATCTTTTACATCTGATTTACATGGAGAGACTGCAGCACCGCCGGAGCACGCACATTGCACATTCACTAGCTCCCCGCTGCCTCGCACACACACTGTAACACACACACAGCTGTACAGTGCGGACCTAGCGCGTGTGAAGTGACTCGAGCCCGGCGCTCTCCGACCCAAGCTCCGTTACGGACAGACGCCCGGCGTTTATCCGCTCTCCTGTCCGCGCCGATGAATTATAGATACGGGGAGCACGCTGCTACCGAGTCCAGAGCCTGTGGTATAAACTCCGCCTGTTGCCCGCAATGTGAGCCGGCTGTTCCTCCAAACGGCCAGGCTAGCTACGCGACTTGGCTACCGGCCCGGACCATCACCCATTTAAATTACGGCTCCGACCAATCAGCAACTATAAACGCTGTCTATCCTGGGGACGAGCGGCGAGGGAAAAACTAAAAAGAAGAAAAAACGTCACTTCTTCTTCCCCTGCTGTAAATCGGCACTGCTTTCAGTTCTAACCTCCGCGCTGCTGGCAAGTTCAAAGTCTGCCTGCATGTTTGAAGGCGATTCAAACAGGTTGTACTGTATGTATGTAATGTTCGGCTGCTTCAGCCGACTTTAACAGCAGGGAGTCTGGACGGCTTGGGTTGTGCCACTCTGCGCGCGGGGGACGCCGATCAATATTGTACATTACAAACTCGTTGTCCGATAACGTTAACGTCATTGCTCACTTGGGGAAGCTTCGTGATAGGACACAAAAAACCCTGACGACTGACACTAGCCAGAAACACAGAACAGCTTTTGTTTTGTTTTTTTTTCATCTAATGCTTTTATATCGTGCTTTGGTGAACAATACCGCTGTATTCGTTCCATGTTTTATTCAATATACCAATCGGTTATGCGAATTCCAATTTAATTGTCGTCTTATTGTATTATGCATTAATGAACTTCATCGTGATGCATGATGATCTATTCATCCTTATGTCTATTCTTAATGAACATTTTCATATACGTGATGATGATGCATTTTCATCCATGTTGCTTCCAACACGCAACAAAACTATGTCTCATTCACTGATTTGTCTTCCTTGTTTATCTATGTGCGAATTAACTAAAGCAGGCTTTTATTGTCTGTTGTTTGATTTTTATGACGCTGCCGATTTTGCAGCGCGCGAAGCCAGCCCTGCCCTCTGACCCGGTGCATGTAAGGGCTGAATGCTCAAGGACTGATGACGTCAGAGAAAAGGGTCGTCTCAAACATTCATACACAACTACAAAGCAAAATTACGTTCTTCCTGTCGCCCGAGGAACGACATAGTTTTCAAATCAAGACAAAGTCAGGTTATGATTTCTGTTATTAGTGTTGATTATTATTCAATATTGTTATTGGTTCGTTATCTGTTACCCATTGCCATTATTTATTGTATCTTATTGTTTGTATGTGGCTTGATGTATTTTAATTGTTTATTTATGTATTGTCTATTGAACTGAAAACAGTGTAATCACTGAGTGGGCAACCCTACATAAAAATTTTATTATGATTATTGTCTAATTATTTTAATTATTTTGCAATGTATAGCAGTTTCTATAGATTTTATCAAGTGTTTTATTCATTTCTTGTAACTGCCTAATATGCATAATTCAGCGACTTGTACTATGTACAAGTCGCTGCAATGTATTTTAGTGTATTGCTTTCAATTGAAACAATAAACCAATTATATAAAAATGACGGAAAATATAATAAAATAAAAAAAAATGATTCCGCTGAACCAGACAGATGTATGGCTCGTTAAACCTAAAAAATCGAATCTTTTCTTTGCACGGTGTGAATTTAAAAATCAATATCGACAAACGGGACGATATAAATAAAAACGTCTGGAAGAATAAAATCCGATGTACGATAGAATTCCTTGGTTTGTCGTCGCTGCAGGATTCTGTCTAATCTGTGAAAAGAGAGAAAGCGACCAATCTGTTGCCGCCCACGGTAGATCAGAAGTGTGCTCGATAACAAGGTAGGAGACCTGCATGTAACATTCCTCACACATCCCGGCACAGCAGGATGCTTTTAACAACCTCAGCATTATTCTCGCCTGACAACGTTAGAATATCGAGTAAATACCGGTATGTAAAACTAAGATTTTTTTAAATTCAAAATAGTGACACAACAATACCAGGAGTGTACTAGGCAGCGAGTATGCTTATAACCTGCAATTTGATATACATGTAGCTAGCTGCCGCCGCGCCGCGTGCCTGCGAAACTGGTTTGTTACACCGAATGGCGGTTATAACGGCTATACCGATACAGATACAGATATGCTGATAGACTTTAGCAAAGGCTGGAGATAAAACAATTCAAGAAATCATCCTAACAATCTTACAGCGGCACTGTCGACATGTCAGATTCGACGATGGCCGTCGTCAGATTTTCAAACAGACTGTGACAGAACCAAAACCGCAGACAAGGATCTACGAAGACAGCATTTGCGGTAACAAGACAGCTAGACTTTGTACGATGTATACACAACTATCGCAAGATTGCAAAAAAATGCCCTCACTTTGCGATCATGCAGCGAATGCGACCACACGTGCACCCTATGTGAAGTACGTATCTGTAAGTTTAAAATTCCAAGATGCATAGTGGAATAACTGAAATCTTATCTGCAAACAAACGCCTGCAGCTGTAATCTTACTAAGTCAGCTTTATCATTCCACAAGGAATAACGAAAATGCATGCAAGCCCGATATAGCTGAAGCCATATATTATAAATCTGCAGCCAATAACGGCGTTTATATTACAAATCAACAGTCAATATTCATAATGTGCAGTGCTTATTGGAATTTACATCTTCAATTTTGAGAGGGATCAATATCTCACGGCTCGTTCCCCCATCGTTTATCACACCATGTCGCCGGTGCAGTCTGGCTGAAAGGTAGGCTTTTAAGGTTATCTTTACAAGTTTACAAGTTTATTTCATAAAAAACACAATGTAGCATGGGCTGAAGTGCTGTGTTTCTTTACAAATTGTGAATTTAACAAGTTCGAACTGATCTTGATATACATTACATACACATTTAGCACATTTAAAAGATTATTCGTAAAAACAGACTATTCAGATATGTACAAAATGTCAACGTTCGTTTGAAATGTTATCAGTTTAGCAAAACAGTGGATAAGGAACGGATTTGGCTGTGTGTATATCATAAGTATGTAATTCCTGTCAGAGACTGGTTATACAGAGATACTGTGTGGTACAAGAAAGATCTTCTTAAACGCTCAGTCTTTCTGCTCCAACGGTTATTACCTTTTTTTATCTGTCGCGCTCCGTCGCATCGTTTAGGAGACGCGGCAAAGCGTGCAGACAGTGATGTGTATGAATGAATGAATAACTGGTTTATTTCATCAACATGATCCTTAAAAAGAGTACATCGCAGCCAGATAAAGTGGCTGAATTGCATACTTTTCACATCAATAGATAAGGCTATTTAAAAATTGACATATTCTACAAATATTAATATTTACATCGGAGAAGTTACTGCTGTTCGTTTAGTAGTTTTATCATGTGAGGAATAGGACTGTTCTTGTATCTGTTTGCTCGTGCTCTGAATGTGGACAGAAGGTGTTAATTTCTAGTGCCTCATGTGTATGTGGTTAGGAACGGGTTTTTTCAATTGTTGACTAGGCAGTAAATTATGCCATGAGATAACAATAGATATTATTCCTCCGTAACTTAATGTTTCTAATCAAATCTAGATCACCCCAATATCGTTTATGATGCATGTGGTGCTATACAATAAGTGTGTAACTTATGATCCATTGGTAAGATCTACTATCAAATAAATACAATCTTGTGGAAAAGGAACATGAACATATGAGACCGCTGTTCTGGCAATCGCCCAGGAATCTAGCTGGGATCTGCGTCGAATAAATTACATGGGTACGATCCAGTGGTACGTAAACAAAATATTTTGGAAAAGGAACATGAGCATCTGGAACGGTCGTTCTGGTAATTGTCGAGGAATCTGGCTTGAGTCTGCTTAGAAGTGCCCTGGAATTTTCGGACATTGCCCAAGATTCTGCTTGGAATCTGCTTTAGATACAGTCCATTAGTAATGTCTAGTGGTATACACACACAGAGTATTGTAGAACGTCGTAGCGTTCTGGCAATTGCACAGGAATCTGCCTGGCATCTGCTTAGAATTACCCAAGAATCTTCGGAAATTGACCAAGATCTCATCTGTAAGCTGCTTAGAATATCCATTGTTAAGATCCAATGGTAAACAAACAAAATCTTGTAGAAAAGGGAACATGAACATCTGAGGCTGTCATTCTGGCAATTGCCGAGTAATCCGGTTGTCATCTGCTTAAAATTGCCCGGGAATTTACGGAAATTGCCCAAGATCCATCGCATCTTCAATCGGTAAGATGCAATGGTAAACAAATAAAATCTTTTAGTTTGCGGAGAAGGAAGATCTGAGACTGTCACTCTAACAATTGCCGAGGAATCTGGCTGCAATCTGCTAGAATTGCCTGAGAATTTTCGGAAATTGTCCAAGATTCCGCCAAGATACAGCGCATTGGTAAGATGCAATGGTAAACAAATAAAACCTTGCGGAGAAGGAACATGAACATCTGAGACGGTCACTCTAACAATTGTCGATGAATCTGGCTGGTCCTGCCTCCCTTCCCCAGGCTGTATGTATGTATGTATGTATGAGAGGAGAGTGAGTGGGAAGGAGGAGTGTCCTCCTCAATTTCAGCTCCTTGCGATCAGCGGATTCCCCCCTCCGGGCTTCCGCGTCGTATTTCCTGATCCCTTCTTAAGCCGATAAACCTCAGCGCAAGTATTGAAAATGTGCATTTCATCACATAGGGCCTCTCCGATTC